ATAACCATTCGTTAAGTCTAAAGTCGTCATAAATTTGGTTGATTTTATGTTCCTTAAAATTTCTTCTATGATCGGTAACGGATATACCGGATATTTCGTTATGGAATTTAATTTACGGTAATCAATAGCGAATCTCCACCTTTTTGGATGCTCCAAAGGATAATCATTATTTTTCTTACATAAAACCACCGGACTAGCATAACTACTTGAGATGGGCGTTATGATCTTTTTACGTAGCATATCGGTAATATGCCATTCTATAATTTTTTCCTTATTCTTATCATACCGGTATGGTTTTTGACGAACCGGCAATGCATCTCCGGTGTCAATACTATGGTTAGTAACCTGGAGTAAATCCTGGAATATCACTAAATAAGGAAGCAAATTCACTTACCACTTGTCGGATTCTATCTTGCTCGTCATTAGGCAGGTGGTCAAGATTTAACCTTGGCGGTTCAACCTTTTCTACACGCACTGGTTTCATCGTCAGCTTAAGGGACGCTTCATTAAAATCCAGTGTAGCTTGTGCGTCTGAAAGAAAGTCTATTCCTAGGATTAAATGTGCTTGCAAATTCTTTACTATAAAAAACATCACCTTTACTTGTTCGTCCTTGATACGGATGTACAAAGGTACTTTACCTACGCACTTACATTTTTCTCCTTGCGCCGCTAATACTGTTGTATTATCCGCATTATATATGCGGTATTTGCGAAAATACTTTCTAAAAAAGACTTCTGCCACACAGGAACACTGCGCGCCGGTATCCAGGAGTGCGGTGGCCGGGATATTATTTACCAAGACTTCAATCTTCGGAAGAGTTAAATTTTTCACCATTACTGTATTTAACTTGTAGGAAGAGGGGTTTTCGTGGCCTTCGGATTTCCGCACCCTCTCGTCAGCAGAAATCCGTTTTAGTTTAAATTATTTTTCCTTTCGGTGCTTTCCTTCTTTTTCCCATGGCCTTGAGACTTTTTTCCTGGGTTGCTATTGAACTGTCGACGTTCGCCGGCTGTTTTTGAATGCTCGGGTTTCCTTGCCCACTGATTCGCTTTTTCTCCGTAGCCATGTGCTTGAGTTTGCTGTAGTCTTGGCGTACCAAATTGGTTTCGCTGTTGATATTGGCGTCTTCTTTCGACGTCCGCCGTTCTTCTACTTTCAAACTGGATTGCTAGCTCAAATAACTTTTCCAGTGTAGTCGGATTTCTCAATTCAATAAAGTCTTGCACTTGGGGTAGTAACCTCGGCAAAATCACTTGAATTATTTCAGGATCCGGACGGTTTCCATACAAGAGCTTGAAAACGTGAATTTTTCTTAAAATAAAGCTCGAGAGGTTTTCGATTCTTTGTTGATATATACTGAAAAGTTCCGTTTCTAATTTCGCACGATCCCTTACAACAGGGAAGGCTTTTAGTAGGGCAGTCTTGAAATTTTCGTAAGTATAGGTGGGACTTCCTGCTTGACCCAAGAGACTTCTGCCGATACATTTGAACCAGTTAAGCGCTTGGCCCCTCAAAGCGCTGGTAGCTAAGGTAACTTTTTGAAACTCGTGCACGGGGTAGAGCATGAAGTGGTCATCCAATTTTTCCAAAAAACTGGTTACCTGTGAGTTTCCATTAAACGTTGCTTCTGGTTTCATCGAAGCGCGCATGGTCTGGACGATGTACCCAAATCCTTCCAGGGCGGCAGCTGGCATTTCTGGATTCTGAGCCGTTTCTGCAGGCAGCACAGGTTCTTCTTGAAACTCGGCCATGGTATTCTTCTTCGTCGGGCGCCACTATCAGGTTCAATGTTTCTTCTAACCTTCTTCGGAAACATACAATGACCTGACTAGAACAGAGAGCTTACTAAAGCTATGTTCACTAATTGTAGTAAGTAGACAGGATACAGACGAAGGGTATAGAAAACCCTTTATTTTTTCTTTATATACAATGACTTCCGTACTTCGGAATACAATGACCCTCCACTCGGGGTCTAACGTAAAAGATATCAAAATAAAACTAAACTCTAATTTAACTTTAGAATAATAAACGTAAGATTGGCCTTATAATAACAGGAAGCGTATGTAGCACAGAGACTGTGAACACTACAATACGTTTAATTTATCAAGAGGATTAAAACCTCTGGCCTGGAAGGCAAAGTAGCAACTGCGTAACTTCTAAGGTAAGCGGCCTGCTTCGAACTCACTGCTTCCTCTCTTCTGCTTGGCAAAAAGGCCACACTTAAATACTTGGCGTTCGCCAGACAAACTTTGCATATAAAATCCTTCACGCTTATAATTCTGGCCGGAAGTAGAAAATAAGAAGTGATAGTAAAGATTTAAAATAAAATAAACGTTAGTAAAACTAAGATCCTAAAATCCTATAATAAAACTCAACACGTCCTTTTTCTGTGGTAGACTACTCTCTCGCATCACTTCTGATAAGGCTCCCGTCCCATTTCAGTACCTTCCTCCCGGCTCGCCTTCTTCTCGGGAGTCCTCAACTCCCGCTCCCTAAGCTCCCGATCCAGAACTCTCATTCCTCTACTCACATTCAAGTAATGCGTTATTTTTGCATTGAAATAAGAACAACTCATTACAAACTTTAGTGTCTTGAAACTCAAAGTTTTGAATGCAGTCTTCTATGGAATACACATTGAGATTATTTTGAAAGTTTAATAGCATTAATGTTAATAAACTGGTAATAAAATAATATTAGTTCATAGGTAAATGGCCACTTTTTAAAATGAGAATTTTTTTGCCAATAAATTCATAGAAATGGACTTAATTCAATGTACAGGATACTCTCATCAGTCTTCATGTGCACTTTTAACCTTTGATTGAAGTTTTTAAGAGCTGGAGAAGGAAGATCTGCTTGCAGGAAAGTAAGTGGCTGCGCGTTATAAGTTCAAATTGCTTACAGCGGCTCTGGCTTCAAATTGAAGAAGCTAAAATCATGTCTCGTAAACGATGTTTAACAAATCTTTCACCTGATGTTGAAAATCAGACTGATAACATTTCTAACAGCATAGAAAGCCAAGATAACTATCATATGATAGTCGCTGATAAAATTTAAATACTCATAAATAAATTTTAAAATGTCCTACATTGATTAGATAAAAGGCTGAATATTTTAAGATAAAAAGTGAAAATGATCTTAAATAAATTATTGCTTAATCTTTTTTAAACAGAAGAAAAATATTTTAAATACAACACAGTATAACTCTTTACAATATTTATTTTAGTTTTAAATATACGATTTCAACTTCCAGAGGGCGACGTTAAATATTTCCGTATTTTATTTATTTTTGAATCTTTGCGACTAGATAAACAAAGAGAGCTAAATAAACGCTTTGCGTTCCTCACTGTAAAGCTAACCATTGTTAGACAAAACAAAGCGGTCTAGTCCTTTTAGAAACGTTTTGAACATGTTATTATATAAAAGCATTGTAAAGGGTGATTCAAACGTCGCGCGCATCAAACTTTCAAAAACTGTGAAAATTCCAAATTGAATATTAATAGCAAATTGTTTCAACGAACGACACCCTTATGCAGTTTTACGGAAAAGTTGTTGAAATGTCTAAAGAAACTTTCCCAAAGGTTCGTGAGCCTAACAAGTCAGGTTACTAAGAGGATACCTGATTTCGAGAGGCTGAAGCTGGAAGAGTTAACCATAAGAAATAAAGTAATAGCCCATTTTTTCTGTTCGGGCAAAATATAAGAAGTCGAGAATAAAATGTTGTAATCACCAAGAATGAGAGAAATATGTCACCGCAATTAAGTTTATGCGTTGCAAAATAGTGCACTATCCTAAAAATTCGTTCTACTTTGGAAACTCGTCGCACTTTCGCACTAAACAAAGGGCTTTTTAAATTTAACAGTATAAACTGAAATTTCAAATGATATATTACTTGTACCACTATAAGGGTGTAATACAGAGGTTCACCGGGGGTACGCGTACCACTGGTGGTACGCAAAGAAGCAAAGTATTTTTAACTATTAAATTCAAAAATTAAAACCTCAACATCCTGATTGATGTAATAATCGTAATTTATGCGATCTGAGCTTTGTTTAAGAGTGGTGGTAGTAGTAGTACTTTGTAGGGGTAGTACTAAAGGTTTTCAATTTTTGTTTAGATGATACGCGTGAGGCGAAAGGTTGAGAACTGCTGGTGTAATCCATTGAAACAATTTGCCATTAATATACATCCTGGAACTTTACAATTTTTGAAAGTTTGATGTGCCTGACATTTATGTTTCCCTGTATACTACAGGACTAGCATAAATGATTTCATTTTGAAAAGGTTAAATTTCCCAAAGTATTTAGCGTACACATATGAAAAATATATGAAAAAAACTATCGAAGTTTTTTTCACTATTTCACCAAGTTTCCCGGATAAGTGTAACATTACTTCTTCGCTGAATATCAACTTGGTGGTGAAATCTTCGCCTCCAATGCTTCCTGCATTTTGACGCAAAAATCTAGTTGACGGGCGAAATCCTCCGGCTTTCATTGTTGCATTAGCTACACATGGTATGGTTTGAAATGCAACCGTTGACGCAAAATCTTCCACATAGTCTTTTGCGGTATTTCAAATATCTGGTTAATTGACAGGACGAACATCTGAAAAAAAAAATGCTACAAAATGTATGGAATGAGCTCGATTATCGTCTGGACGTGTGTCATGTCACCAAAGGGGTACATATTGAATATTTTTAGAGAGTGCATGAACTTAATGAGTTTGTGGTTTTTTTTCATATACCTTTCATGTGTGTACGTGAAATACTTTTGTAAATATAGCCTTTACAAAACGAATCAACCATTTACTAGCCCTATATATCTTACCCACAAAACATTTTAAAATGAATCTGTAGCATTAATTTTTATGAGGCTTTTAAGATAAAGAAAATACACAATTTTGATTTCTTAAAAAATTACTAGCAAAATCCAGATAACATTTATTTATTTATATTGAGAATTTGCTCTTCTTGGTTTAGTTTCTTTTCCACAATTTCAGCGTTTTTCATCATTTGATAATTTTTATTATGTTTCAGGAAGCCAGGATGTCGATTTACGTTGATGAAACTGACCCTGGAGAAGGTGAGTTAGTCGAATGATTTAATTAGATCAAGAAAAGTATATATTTTTGTCCGTTAATATCAAAATTTTATCGGAATACCGAATAAAATATTGTTTTGAAATGTGCAAACGCATTATTTACGAAACTTTGCTGTAAAGAGAAAAGGCCGTTTTATTTATACAAACAACTCGACGAAAATTTCCTTAAACTAGCTTTCAAGACTAAACAGAAAATTACATATTAGTTGAAAATAGAAGAATTAAAAGCTTGCTTTGTTTCCTGAGAGAAATAAACATCAATGAATAAATTACTGATTTTCAAACAGTTTATTATCTAATCAAGGAATCTATCTAATTATACTCGTATTTCCTTTATGTCCCCTTAAAAGTTATTGCCCGGATGATATGGTCTTGGTTAGAGGAGGCTGCTAACTGTATACACTTTTGGAACTGAATTTGAATCCTGAAAGATGCATTAATATTCATGTCTGTAGTATCTGTGCGAAATGGGGGCACTTGAAATCTCTTTGATCTAAAAGTATTTTCGAGAGGTTGGGTTAGGAGAAAAAGAGACCTTCAGATTTCATCCTCTGAAGTGCTCTCAATCAAAATTTAGAAAGAATTCACTTAGATAACTTCGCGTGGTTTGCCTAAATTAAATAATTCGAGCCACATAATGTAAAGGACCAAAGACATTGTTTCGTCTATTAAAAAGTTTTCTCGCATAATATAAATAATAGAAATTATTACAGGAAACAAATCATTAAATATTCTATTGAGACTATTCGGCTCTGCATAGTAGGAAACATAAGAAATTAGAGACGTCTTAGGCGGGATTCAAATTCAGAACCATCCAATCCATCCTGACGTGCTTCCAATTACAACACGAAGAGCACCCGGTAAGGAAGCAGAAAATTTCTCATATTCTCCTTCACCTAAAGGGTAACTGGGGAGGAGGAGACACAGAAGCCAAATGCTCATAGTAACGAATTATCACCCACCTTATTTTAATTCAAGCGCCACATTTAGATGTACTTAGAATTTTTTTGAAACCCGAAAATATGAAAATCATCAATTCCATCGCTGTGATTCGAACTTTGAAGCTGCCAATTGCTAGCAGAACGCACTTTAAATGACACCACGATGGAAAGCAATAAAGAAGGTGAAAAATCCTTATAAACCAAATTGTCAATAAAAGGGTGACAGGAGAGTAATTTCGAAAGTAACTTAGAAAAGATAAAAATGTAAAGTAAATAAGAATTAAACTGTATCGAGGACAAGTTCTGTAGTAGAGGCACATAAAATATTCAACATTAGAATGGTTAAGTATATAAATGTCATAAACTCTTAATTACGCCAGTGCGTATAAATTGCATCCCTGTCACAGAGTTGCTCAATTTACCTCCGTTCGAGTTATTTAGCGGGTATACCTTAAAACCACACGTATGTAACACGAGTAGCAATGAAACAATTCGTCGAGAGTGAAAAGACAAAAAGTAAGAAGGCGTAGGTGAAACTGCACTTTCAAAACTAACAAGGTAACTGGAAGAGATAAATAATTCAAGGTAGTGGCTTTAAGTCCAAAGTATGAATTCGCTTAAAATCATGAAGTTATCTGCGATCACGTTTAATTTTACAGAAAAATATAATTAGAGAATGAAAGTTGAAAGATGTTTAACAATGATTAAAACGTACATAAGTTAGATGTTCCAATACGTGATGCTTTGTATCTATTTTTGGTCTATCCTACTTATATTATTTAGTAATCTTTTTTGTTTATTGTTTGTATAATTTATGGACAGGTGACAAACTAAGGAGGACAGGGACACCTGATATCTAACATGGGTAAATGGGTGTATGTCTCACGCTCTCCCCTATTCACAGCAACATCTCCCACAGGGGCGACAAGAATGCCGCTTCGGGAGTTTTATTACTTTGAGAAAATGATTTTATATAGTTAATAGTTTTTACAATGGTACTTGTGGTACAGAGTGGCGTCTTCGGTTCACTCAAGGAATTATAAAATATGACATATATTCGTATACGATAAAACTATACGTACAGAGAGATAGATTTCAAGTAAACGTCGTATAATTTGAATTTCAGTTATAATAATTGTATCGTCTACCGTTAGACGACACAGTATATTTACTAATAGTGAGTATACATGTTATCTGTCGTCTAGTGGTCATATGATGCCTGGATTAGACTTCTGTTTACATTGCTAGAGAGACATACTGTTGTCCCAAAAGAACGAATTTTCGTTGTTGAAGAGCAATTCACCAGTTAACTTCCAGTTTTACCCATGTGTAACTTGAATGCAAATCAATTTCCTTTAGAAATTTCTCCAAAAAGGCATCCTTTCCCACAGACAGATAGCCCTCATGGGCTTTTCCACATTCCAATAACCTAAGATAACCTTATCATCTCAGTCACCAGTAGTCATAAGGCGATTATACAACTATGAAGACAAATATAAAGTACTGTGTAGTAAATAATAAAATGAAAGAAATTTCAGTGAAAATTATTTGTGTTAACACCCATACTCGAGTTAATCCAAATTTATCAAAAAATCAGAAATTAAAATTATAACAGCTATCTTTAAACAATAAAGTATGAATGCATACCCGGTTCAACAATTTTTTACTCAGTACATCAAATTAGAAATGTCAGGCGAGCAGTTTTATTTCCGCGTAATTAAAGATGCTTTTAATTAAGTACTGCTATGAATAGTCTCAGAATGTCTTCAAATTTAAGGCTGAATAACTACTCTGTGCTATCAACTTCACATGAATTGTAGTTCTACAACTCTAAGTAATTCAACTTCAAACCCATGCTGTTTGATCAATAAACAGCTCATGGGTATTAACCAGTATTTCAACTTACACCACGAGAAGAATTAAGATATCAATTTTAACATGTGAGAGCCGACCGTGTGAGCCCACTAAGAAAATCGGAAAAAAGGGAAAATAGAGTACTCGAACTACAATCTCCAGTAAAGTGGTCGAGTCGAGAAAGGTCGCTGAACACTGGTTATTCGATTCTGGTTCAAATACCTATATAGGAGTCTCATAATCATGTAGAAAGTGAATATGAGCTTATTTCCCTCAGAAAATCTTCTGTGAATGTAAAACGGGAAAGAAGCAGTGACCTTGAAAAGCCTTTTCTAAAGTAAGAGAAATATCTGCAGTGCAATCCAGTCAGTGACACTACATGAAATGATGCATCGCTAGACTACCAAGAAGCGAAGGAGCATGAACAATCCGGGACTTTATCGTAAAGGTCTCCCCAAGAGACATGTAAACTGCGAAAAAAAAAAAAAAAAGGACAGTTCTCTATCTCCCGTTCTACTGGGCCGATTGACAAAATTCAAATTGCGTTTTTCATGTCTCGAAAGCGCGACTTATGATATATATATTAGATTTATATATAGCATTTGTTCTAACATAGGCATTTTAACACAAAATCGGACTTTTTCTGAAATAACATACCAATTCTTTTTCCATGTTTCGATTCTACGACTAAAATTATGCCTAGATATTAAATTTTGTAAAACTGGTGCGAAATTTGCGGAAAAATTCAAAGATATATCTTGGCGCATTTTTTTTTTCAGTTTGCGCCAAGAATAATCCATTTGGCGAACTTCTTAATATATGGCAAACAATTTCCCTTTGCCTTCCATTCCACTATTCCTTTTCCTTCCATTTGGAATGAACCTGAATTTTGAATTGTGAGAGGAAGAATCAAATAAGTTCAATAAAAAAAGAGAGATTAATAAATGTATACCAAACTCAATTAACATTGAGGAGCTAAAATTTTGAGAGCTAATTTTTAAAAAAATACTGTTGATTTTATAAAACTTGTAGTTTGGGTACTTTGATTCGTAGAATTGAAATATGGAAAAAAAACTTGGTATGCTATTCAGAAATGTCCGATTTTGTGTCAAAAAACCTACATTAGAACAATGCTATATATAAATCTAATATATCTTAAGTCGCGCTTTCGAGACATGAAAAACGCGAGTTGAATTTCGTCAATCAGCCTAGTAGAACGAGAGATATAGAACTGTCCCCCCCCCTGTTTTTTTTTCTGCGCAGTATACAAGTATAAGCTAGGTCAGCACCTTTGTACTACACAACTGAATAAGATATTTTCGGAATCTAGGTAACTGTAAAACTTCCGCCCAAATTTTGAGGGTGGACCCCTCAAATGTGTAGTCAAGGGTCATCCATCCCCTCTTCCTCAAGCAAAACCTATCAAGAGGACTATGATTACAAATATCTACGCCTCCAGGCCCATTGGTACGCCATAGCGTCACTTACCACTATACCAGCAGGACAGCTTCCCAGACAGGTAGAACACTAAACATGGGACTTAACATGGGACTGTCGCTTGAACCTCTAGAGGTGGTGCACAGTAGAGCCACCCCCACGGTCAGCCGCGAGCAACAAAGTCAGTTTTATGAAACGCAAGACAAAGGCAACTGGGCCCCAACCAGTCGCCTATACAAAGATAACGAGAAGAAAAAAAATTTGACGTCTGTACCCCAACATTGACCATCGGAATGTAAACCCTAGAGCATTACCTTCCAATATCAAACATGTAGCAACACCACAGCCCGAGCCAGACTTGACAGTACCAGTACAGTCTCTGCCGAATACCGAACGATCAATGCTTCCAGTCTTGTAAAGACAATCTGATTACCCCAGGGGCCGAGCCTGTCTAGTTACAGATCTGAGCCAGAACGCAGAAGCTTGTCCTCTAGTCAACCCCCCCCCGGGAAACAACTTTCAGAAGTTGATTACAATGAATATGATTATACATCCGGTATATAGATGATATAATCGCATTATATAGCAATATCTGTCCCAGATGTTTAAAATTAAACAGATCAATAAGGTTCAGTTAATTATAGATCACCGGAATCTAAGGATTTGTAATCTAAAAGAAGTTTTTTTTTTTTTTTTACAATCAAACTTATAAATTGGAATACAAACATGTCTAAAAAAGTTTTTTTCCAAATACAATTTTTTATCAAATTGCTCGTATTAAAAAAATATGCACTGAAATTGAACAACAAAAGCAAGAAATTCTTCTTCTTACTAAAATTTTACTAGGAAATTAAATTCCAATTAACTTTAGTCAACTTAGAAAAAACTCTATGGTCTACACCCTATAAATTTTTCTAAGGTTATGAATTTTTTATCTGAAAGCTCAAATAAAAGAATGATAAAGAAGGATTAATTAAAGGGATTTATAGCGTTATTTGTAAATATGTATTTACTGCGCAATTTTTCTTCACTTCTCTTTTATTAACTGAGGGCCTACTCTTTATACTAAGTCATCAAGATAAGCCCATGGCTTGAAAATTTTATTGTTTTCTAGCATTTGCCTTTTCTTTCCTCTTCTTTCTTACATTACTTTAATGCTTTCCAATTTAAATTTAAATTTTAAAAATTCTTGCTGTAAATTGACCTTTTGGAAGATTTAAAATTTTTCATCGACATTTTTATCGCCGATTGCGTCAAACAGAAAACCATAGGAGTCACTTTTCTCATTTTGAATCAGTTTCCTTTGTTCTGCAAACAGTACGTTCTAACATTTTTATTCTCGTTCTTTCTTTAAGTATTACTCGGATTCTCTGTATAGTAATTTTTTTTAATTTTAATATTAGTAATTGAACATTTTATTTTTTTGTTTTACTAGACAAATTGAATTTAATACATATTTTTCACTTAAATTTTTTTTATGTGTCATTTAATGGAGAGCGACTGTGTAGAGGAGGCATTCGAAAATTTCGGACGAACTATTATGATTGAATAATTTAAATTGGTTCATCAGCTAATTTTGGGTGAACAGAAACACAGAAGTTTTCTTAGGAAGTTGATTCAAACGCGATATGATGGACCTTCTCCTGATAACGTTGAATCCGATTTTGATTGTGTTCCTGTTCCTTTTCTTATATATATATATATTTGTACTTCCATTGTTTTAGGGGTTTATAAGGTCTTTTTACATTTTTATTGCGAGATTTAGGGATTGTACTGGTTTTATTTTTAATTTCTTTCATGATTTGTTGTTTTGGTTTTAAATTTATTATTTGCTTGTCTATATCTATCTGTCAATTTATACATATACATAACATGCATCACCGACACGAAATATATATATATATGAATCAAAATCCCGAACATCAGAACGAAAAAGAAAATGCCGTATTAAATATATAAAGGTTAAACCTATTTTCTCCGTGTAACAAAATAAAAGTAGTAAATTGCAAATTAAAGAAAATTACAAAATTGAAATAAAAAATTTTCATTTCAAAGAAGAAAAAATATAACAATATGGGAAATTTGTACATATTAAAGCCAAAACAATAAAAAACTTTTCTAATCTCCTTTACTAAGCAATATATATATATATATGTAATATGTAAGATAAAAAATATGAAAGCAAACTTCTAATTTTAATTGGCTATAACATCTTTAATTTTTAAATTTTATTTGGGGACTTCATCTCTCTATTTTAAAAATAGCGCTATAAGTCTAAACTGCGTCATTGAAATTAATCATGCGATCCTACGTCACACTTAATGCAGATACCTCTTGCCCAATCAAATAATTGTAAACCAAAACTTTTTTAACTCGGAACTGAAACTTTTTGACTCCCTTCCTTCTTCCTCTGAACCGCTACACTTTTTACTCTTACGCTTTTCCTACTGGCAAGATACTCCTCATTCACGCTACTGCTTACTTGCTTAAGATGACGAAGTACTCTAAACCGCGTGTAAATGGAAATTATTGCATTCAACAATGATTGAAAAATATATTATCTGCAGAAAGATGATCTCATGTGAATTATCCTGCTGACTAAAATTAGTTGTCATGTTTTAATACGTAGATGACGAAATCCGTTATTTTAATTTCTGGTCTCCGAAGACACTTTATTGCTTAGTTGGAAGCATGAATGCATAAACCAAAACTCACAGCTAAGGCCGTTTCGAAACGAAATTATGTGTAAGATAAAAAATATGAAAGCAAACTTCTAATTTTAATTGGCCTCTTTATTTTTTTATTTAATTTGGGGGCTTCATCTTGTAGAGACATTAGGTATTTTTTGGAAGCAGGCAAGATGAAAAATTAGCAACGCCTTCGCCGGGAATCGAATACGACTCTGGCTAACGGCTCACTCCATACCACCACACCACGAAGGCACGCTATGAAGGCAGGAGAAATACCTTATATCAACTCCTTTTAAAAGGCGACTGGGGTTTTAGGGGACCCAGTCGACAAATCCTGGGTGCGGAGAGCCACCGTATATGCGTATAATTTAAAATTAAGGGAAAAAGTAGCCTTGCAATGGGATTTAAAATTAAGATTCTGGAAACATCTTTCGCTCTTGATAAAGGACTTAAATCAGATCCTCCTCTTTAAAATCGATAGATTTTTTTTTTTTTTTTTTTGCTCAAAATCCGCACCAGTCTGATTGCTTTTCTGCCTAGTTATAAATTTTACATCAATGTATTTCTCTTACAATTAGAAACATAAATGTTGAGAAACTAATTTATATTTTATAATTTTTTAACATATTTGATCTAAAATAAGTATTCAGTTATTTTTCTTCTTACTTTTAGATCCTGAACCAGATTTTGAACCGAGAAATATTGTAGTAAAGAAAGGAAAAGATGTGAAATCAGAATACGCTCTTAATGCAGAGCTTGGAAGGTAATAGTCTACATAGCTAACAAGCGAAAGTATATATCTATACATATATAAATATGTAAGATAAAAATATGAAAAAGATAACTTATAATTTAAATTAGCAATAACCTCTTAACGCTTGTAGAGACATTAGGAATTTTTGAAGAAGTACATGAAAAATGAGCAATGCTCTCGCTGGGACTCGAACCTGGACCTCTCGAATACAGAGGCTGTTCGCACATTTTTTTGACTATTTTGGTAAGCGGTAATAAAACATCGTTTGCTGCAAAGGAAGTAATTGCAATTGTACTATGTTTATGAGTCAAAATTATCGTCTGTGGCTGAAAGTTGTTTTATTCAAAATGCGAATTAACAAAGCAGTGGTTCGAGGTACATTTACGCTCTTTCCGAAGAAATAGCATACTTTCCGTTATCCAAAACGATGTGAGAGTCATGGTTTTGTAAAGCTTGATAGGTAATATCATCACAAAAAAGGGAACAAAAACTCCAAATTGGAGCCTCAAGTGGAAAATTCCAAACAGATCCAGAAAAACGGAATCTTCGCCATTGCAAGGTACGTTGTTTAATGTTAAATAAAACCGCTTTCGTCAAAGGACAGTTGCAAAATCTTAAATGCTCGTGTCCACTGTAAACAAAATGATAAACGTTGATTTAAATCTTAGAAAGCGAAAAAAAACAATGTGCATCGTCTTTCCATCATATCGCTCAACGCGGACACGCTGCAGATTCTATATGAGAAACATTCATCCGAAGAAAACTGGAAAACAATTGGCACAATAGTGAAGCATGGGTGTATTGTACCAAAAAAAGAGCATTTATTATCAAAAGGAAGAAAAAAATTAAGTACTTGTTCAAAGAATCGAAGAAAGTTTTTCTAAGGGATCAGATTTTGCTGTTTTCTATAATGCAAGTTAAAAAATAAAAGAGTGCAAAAAAATGTCAGTTAACTCCAATACTATCGAACATATTTTCGCATTTTCTGAATGAAATACCATCGCTTTACCCACAGTGCCATCAATTGAACTCCATCAGGACAAAGCTAGCGTCACACACAAAATCCACTGTAATTTTCCTAAAGAAATGGAAACAAAAAACTGGTATTAAGGCCATACCCTTCACTGGTATCCCTGATAAATCTCCCGATGTGTCACCTATGGATTTTTGTGCTTTCGGACTTTTAAAAACTGCATTATCCAAACGTTGTCCCCAAACCCTAATAGAACTCTGGAAAGCTGTTCGGGAGGAATGGGATAGAATATCTCTTCTGACACTTCAAAAGGCATTATTATCCTGGAAATTGCGGTGCCGAAAGATAGTTCAGAATAAGGGATGTCAAATAGAACATTTAAAACACAAGAATTTTATGTAATTTAGTTTTGTGAATACAATATACATTTTCTAAAAAATGTGTGAACAGCCTCTGTGCACGCCGAGTGTTCTATCTTTCTCCACGAAGGCAGGTAGAAAGAAAGGAGAAAATATCTAATATGCTCCCCCTTTTAAAGGGAGACTGAGCATTAGGAAACCAGGTCGCCATATCCTGGTGGTGAAGAATCAGAATCCACCATGTTTTTAGTTCGGGCGCCCCTGTAGAGTCATTAGGATTTTTTTGTTTGTTTTCGGAACGGAGGACAAGAAAAATGAGCAATGCCCTCTCCGGGACTCGAACCTGGACCTCTCGAATATGCGCCGAGTATGCTACCTTTGCACCACGAAGGCATGTAGAAAGAAGGAAAAAAGTACCTTTTATTCTTAAATTTAATTTATTTCCCCTCTCTATTCTAAAAATAGTAATTTCTTTTTGCGCTGCATTATTTTGAGACTAATCTATGTCACAACACATTTTATAACACAGACGATGTAAATGGAACTAAACCTCAAACAGACCACTAATAATTTTACAGCAGTACTAATTATCCAATTAAAATGCACTGAGGACCTAAACTAAGTCTGAATTAAGATTTCACACTGAATACAACGCACTTGTTTGCTACACTTCAGCCAAGCTGGACTACTGCCTGTTGCTTCCTTCTTACTGCAAAGCTATCAAAAATGTAAACATTTTGTTATAGGCACAAGTAGTGTAAAAAGTTGTTTGTGGCCGCAACAATGTTTCTTAAAATAAAGATGAATATTTATTCTGCCTCGGCTGCTCAGTGCTCAGTTTCCTATTTCATTATGGATCAACATCTTATGCAATCAAAATTCGTGTGTTCATTACGAATTCAATATTCTACGTTTTATGCCATGTAAGTGTTACACCATCAGTATTTCTACGTATCTGTGAGATCAATTTTTCTAAAGCATAATGTTTATACTATCTCTCTCTCTCTCTCTCTCTCTCTCTCTCTCTCTCTCTCTCTATATATATATATATATATATAGTACATTGTCAAATCCATGATGATGATAGTAAATATTGTGTAAAGCTTTTGTCTCAGTCAATGGTCGCGCAAAGCAAGTTTTAACAACAATTTAATGTTTATTTTATAAAATTAGCAGCATTTTTACTTATAGTGTTAACAGCTTTCTGAAAGAAAGAAAATAGAGTGATTCAATGCACAACTTATTTTTCGATAAGTAAAGAAACCGAGACTTTAAAGAAACAGGTATTCACATTACTGTATTTAAACTAATGGAGAGATCTCTGTTAAACGAAGGTTAAGAGCTACAGTTATACCACAAATTAAAGCGCTTGCCTGTAGTTATACCACAAATTAAAGCCTTTAATCGTATGCAAATAGGAAAGTAATCTCAGACATGGAAAGAAGAAGTATTTCTTCGAATATCTCATCCATCTTCAGAAACAAACTACACACACACACACAACAAAAACCGCGACTCACATTTTAACCTTCCATATGCTTCCGCTTTTGCCTGCAGTTACTGAATACACTACCGCTAAGGTATCGGTTTGAAAACAGGTTCTCATGTCTTCTCTGGACGAATTAATTTTCCTGCTAGGCAAAAATTGCCCTTCAGGAAAAGAAAGTAAATGAGACGAGAAGGGAAACAGATATTTACTGCCTGAAGGCCTCTTCATGCTTCACAACGTGTGTAAACGCTCGGGAGTCGATAACTACGACAGAGGAATAGAGTTTCAACTAATGAACTGCATTATTTCCGTACTTGAAAGAGGTGAACACGTCCAATCGATCTCGAAGATCCATAACCCACAATAAATATTTTATTTCTTAACGCAAAGAGCATATCTATGAATTACTAGCTCTCTTTCTTCAAACCACTCATATACTAGTCAAAGGCAAAGTAAGATAATTAATTACGATAAAGCATGCGATGAATCTCCGCCTTAGGAAATGTGGATGCTTTCTTGGATTTCTTCGTAGTACTGGCTGGGAAATTGTAGCATAAGTTTAACAGAGAATGCTGAAAGCGAAATTAAAGTCATAAAATTCAAAGAGATATATATTAAAATATAGAATGAGAGTATAGGATAGAGAAATCATTAATGAATTCACAAACATCTGTATTCGTAATCTCATTTACAATAGTTATTACTTAAAATTAGTATAGCATTCCTAATAATTTAAATTTAATGAAAAGAAAATGCAAGACAGTAATATGTGAGTGGTGTAATCAATGAATGGCATTAATTTTAGCATGTACCAAATTTGATGCAATAAGCGCTGAAAATCAATGCTGTTTATCATTTTCAGCATTTATATTATCTGAAATCGCTGCCCTGTTGGTACAGTAGTACAGGAGTCGGCTGTCACAGCCTTGGGCCGAACTCGATTTTGGAGAAGGCATGGATTTTTAAGTATGTAGTATCTTTTCGGCGTGGGAGTACTTATAAAACTGTCGAGTCAAAAATTATTTCGTGAGGTTGATGGTAGATGAAGAAGAGTGGGAGATTCTCGAATCAGAACTTCCCGTTTCTCACGGGTGGTAAAATAGGTCGCCTCCTGTGCTGCACCCGGGCAACGTACTGTATGATAAAACAGGTAAATGATCTATGAATTCAACCATAATCTTTGAAAAGAGCTTAAACAGCAAGTATCCGAAATTTAAAAAAAATTGACATTATTATCTCAAACAAGTTCACATTGAGTAATCCGGAAATATGCGCAAGTATACCTTATAATACAGAAGCAGGAGAAAATAAGGAAATGTGAGAAATACGATGAAACCTCTTTGCCTATGATAACGTGTCTTTCTTTGTGTGGACCTTTTTTCGGAGCCTGGCATTTTAATTTATACCTTTAAAAAAACATGAAAAGCACAATCAGTTCATTTCAACAAGAATTGAAATTTTGAATTAACGATTTTACCTCACCTTGAAAAGAATGCTTATTTGAAGTATTTTATAACATTTCATTGCAAATAACTTATTAAATGAACACATTGAATATACAAATGTTTCACATCTTCACAAAAGCCTAAAATGACAGCTTATCTCGAAGCTTTCATTTTTTTTCATCATGACACTCTTGTACTGAAGAATTAGTTTGATGAGTTCAAATTTAAGCTTTAATCGAAGACAAACTGGTAAATATCATCATGAAAGTGAATATTTAAAGGAAATCTATCTGCCATTTCAGTTTTCCTCAGACAACCTTTTTTAATGTAGTGGAAACTTTCAAAATATCTTAGTAAGCTTGAAATTTTAAATTGATAATTTATGTTAAATAAAACAGTAATTAAATGAACAGGTGAAATATTTAAGAGATTAAAGAGTAAACACAAATGTACATATGTTAAAATGTCCCACTGCTTTGTACATTCCCTCATACAGTGCTAAGATCATAAAACATCATATTTATTTTTTAAATTTTAAGAATTCCGAGAAGCATTATCTGAAAACTGTTGCAAAATTTAAGCAGCATATAAATATGAATTCCTATTCCATATTAGTACGAAAGAATTTCAAATTCTCATCTGAAAAAGCAATACGAAATTGGAAGAGTACTGAATAAAAGAAATGACCTAGTTTTTGCTTCCGCCAAGGGCCGAATTAAGAATTTTATAGCCCTTAAGCACTTCAAAGATTTTGGTTGTCTCCATATACATTTTTACGCCAGTTTTTCCTAATTCCTCTCCCTCGCTCTTGGTTCAGCTTCAATATACATTCCGTATTAAAACAGCCAGCAGGAAATTTTTTGGAGTGCCCTTTTTCCTTGATTTTCTAAACGCGTATTTATTTAGCTTGATTATTAATCTAGCTCTGCTTCCACCCCTTTATTTTTGGAAAATTTTGTGGTAATCTAATTAATTGAATTTTATTTACATTTTTAGGACGTTGCTGCATGTTTTAAAAATAATGAAGTTTACAAATGCGTTTTTATTCTTACAGTTGAACCAAGAAGCGGCCCAAATCTAGGTAGAACTGCAACAGATTTCATTGCAAAATTAAAAACTTTTTTTTATCTATGGTGTTTATTTTCAATTAAATAATACCTAGTTTCCATTACCGGTTGTTTCAACTTTGTAAAAATGTCTATATTGTGATGATAGAATGTATTTTTATATGTGATAATAAATTATAGTGAAAATGAGCTCAATATAATACAGGGTTAATATAATTCTATTTCAAAAGGCTGTGTAGGGAACACTGTTGATCAGAATAGACAGCTGTTGATAGAACGAATATTTTATGGATACAAATCAATTTTAAGGGAATCAAATTTTGATAGGGCAAGTTTTTAAAATTATTGCTTCATACGTACCGCTACTGGAGCAAGTAAGCCTCTACTATTACCTTGAAGACCAATACAGAAATCAAAATATTTGCTAGTACATATTAAAGATGCTACATGTACCATCTACCGTTTTCTGCGGCAAGCTGAAATCCTAAGGTCCATGGCAGATACAAGTATTTCTTTTGAGATAGCGTGAACATCATGTACAACGTTTGCTTTCAATACTGCCATGTCTGTGATCTGTCCACTGAAGAGAATATCCTTTAAGAGCAAAAAGCTGCAAGTGTTCAGATCTAGAGAGCGCACTAACTATATCCCTGGAAAATGGGCCCTGATTTTCTCCTCTTTTCGGTTTCCAGTATGAATGCTAAATAGCTATTGTACTGCTACTCTTATGTGCAGTGGAGAGCTACCTTCTGTGTGTATCCAAAGGCTATTGCTTCTGCAATGCAGGAATCAGGCAGCTTTCCGAAACAGATGCCCATTATCGGTGATTGACGCAAGAGGTAGCGGAAGCTATGAGAATACAGGATATCAAAACTCTTCTATTATATTCTATGTGTTCTCGTCCGTTTTCTGCTGCAAGCTGTTAAATTGTATGATCGGTTTTTTATATCGTTTGGTTTCGATATACTTCAGATATGATGTGTCATACTTGCAACCAGCTCTTCCAAATTTAGGACTTGTTCAGTAAAGTGAACCTATTTTAAGTATCCGTCGCGCCAAGTGTTTCAGTACGGGAGAGCACGCTGATCGTATTTCCTTTGAAAAATAACTCTTGATTCTCCCACTCCTTTTTCCGTTAAGAAAATGATAGTGGAGAAGCACCATCTTGTATGAAATATTGGAACACTATCCGTAAAATATGAAAATCGTATAGATTTCCAAACGAGATACATATGATAGATATTTCATGGAAGAAACCACAGAACTCAGTTCTGCGAAAACGAATATGCTCCAACAATTAATGCCCGTTGTAAACCCGAATCACAGACTAATATTTCGGGAAATGAAAGTTACCTTTCGTAGTGCGCATGGACGTTTCTATTGCCCAAATTGTACAGTTTTGCGAAGAAACAACACCATGAAAAGAAAATGGTCATTTTTCTTCCAACAAAATATCCATAGTTATTCACAGTCTACTTCGGCTAAGGCAAGAAATTATAGCGATTTCATAGCATCTGGATTCAAAAACAAAACATTATCTCCTAAAATAGACTGAAATAGTTATCTATTAGTAATTTTCCTGATAAAAGCGTTAAAGATTATTTGGTTAGTTTGTTAATTTTTATTATACGTTACATAGTATTTAACGAGGTATGTGATAAAAGAGTATATAATAATCATTTTTGCATGCATATGAAACATAGGAGAATATGCGTTATTAATTAACTGTGTTTTGGGAGCTGAGTGAGTTAGGAATTTGGACTTTACGGAGAGGATTTGAACGAAGATAAAATGTTACTGAAATGCTATAGATTAGCATAATAAACAAGTTCTGCTATTATGTGTTTCTATGTGAGGAATGTTTTTGAAGAGCAGTGACTTTTTAAAAATTGTGGCAGCCATTCAAATAAATATAATCATTGTTTCTCTCATGGTATTACAAGCTGTCAGATTTCGAGAAGATGTAACTGAACAATTCTCTAAATAAGTGAAATTACATATAAATATTAGGTTGAATTATTATTTTTACCCTAATCTGCTACAAAATTATCGTTTCTTAAACCATTGAATTTAGACATATTTTAATATGAGTAATTTACTATTTGTTCGAGCTTTGTCTGAAAGATCGTGAAATTCAAAATATCGTTCAATGTTTTTCTCTTCCATCAACTATTAAACTTTTCAGGAATTTTGACATCGTTTAAACATAATAATTATTTTTTTTCGTGAATAATACAGAGCATAAAAATATTTCAATTTGCCCATCTGTTGTAATAATATCAAGATACAATTTCCTGTATGTATTCCTTTATTCAAATTTAATTTTCAGATATAATATTAAAAAATGAAAATAAAAGTTTTCTTAAAATAAGCTTTTAAGTAAACAGTGAATTAAAAGTAGAAAAATAAGTTTAAAATTTTGTAACCTATGTATTTTTACATGTTGAAACTTTAAAATAATACACCTCAAATAGTCGAAAATATAGAGCGACTTTTCAAAAATTCGCCAAAACATTAGAAGTAAAGCTAAAATTTGATTTAAATTTCATTTAAATGATTATTATCAATTCTACCCAATGGTGTAAATAGTTAATTTCTGAGATTTTTAATATGTTCGTTTAACGAAACTATGTGTAATAAAAAATTTTAAACAAAAATTTAAAAACCAAAAGTCAAATTAAAAAAAAAATAGCATCACCACATTACATTGTCAACTATAAACAGTCTGTGTACAAAATTTGAATAGCTTGTCAGAAAGTAGGTTAAAAGTTGGAGACAAACTTCAAACCACAGCAACACACACCATTAGTGAACTAAATAAAAATTTATAAAAACAAAAGATTCTGAAACTTATAAATAAAAGTATTTATTACTTTTCCAGGGGAAAATTTGGCACAGTTTATCGATGTACAGAAAAAGCGACAGGAAAGGTTTTTGCAGCAAAGTTCATCACGACACCAAAACCTCAGGATCGCAAAGATGTGGAAAGAGAAGTGGAAATAATGACGGTACTGCAGCATCCACGTTTACTTCAGTTATATGACGCTTTTGACGACGGGAAGAAAACAATGTGCCTTATACTAGAAATGTAACTCTTTTTATCTGCTCTATTACTGCCAGTTTAAGAAACAATGTAATGTGAATGTATTGATTTTTTCTTAAACACTATTAGTTATGTGCTATTATATATTTATTATATTTATTAAACATTATTAGTTTTGTAATAATTGTTTCTTTTCGAGAAACATTTCTACACATTCTGTTGACTAAATTTTCCTGAATATAAACTTGAAATAATGATTGGAACATAATTTTGGGAATTTGTATGCATTTGATTTGAGAATCACGTTTTAATCTGATTAAGTAAAAGGAGCATTAGTTAATTTCCTTTTCAGATTACATCTTAACTTTATTTAAGCAGAAAGTAATAGAAGTATTGGTTAATTCCTTAGATATATGAGACTGGAAAGTAAATAATTTTAAGTTAACAGCTTAAGCAAAAAGTGTTGGAATTTCTAACGCTTATTGTTTTAATTATTCATTTAAATTTATTATGAGTTGCATCTTTTAATCCAATCACTTTTAATCCACTACTATTAATTGCCTTAGTTTGTGTATGTGCGTATTAACGAACTGCGCCAATAGTTAATGATAGCAGCTGAAATTGTTTAATTCTATTACATTTTAGTATTGAATATAAGATTCTGCCTTCTTAATTTATAATTAAGAGGGCAGAATCTTATATTTAATTCCTTATAGAATTTAATACAAGCTGCCATAATCTTATATATATATATTAAGAAAATGATAGTATAGTTAATGGAATTATAAATTCCATTAACTTCACCATCAGTTTCCTAAAGAGAAATTAACGCTTGTTTAATATTATTCTCTGACTTAGAAATTAAAAATATTTATGCTTATATAATCTCAGAGATACAAAGATAAAATACCTTTATTTAGTGCGGCAATAGGATTGGTTTTTGAAAATATGATCTCATTTCTTTTAATCTTCAGTATAGAAGGAGGGGAGTTATTCGAGAGAGTCATTGACGAAGACTTCGTACTCACAGAAAAGGCAGTCACAATTTTTATGAGACAAATCTGTGAAGGCGTGGAATATATGCATTCAAAAAACATTCTACATCTCGATATGAAGGTAAGTACATAAATGATGTGATTATTTCACTGCAGGATTACACGTATTTTTCAGTTCGTTGCTTATGATTTTGTAAGTTTGTTTGTAAGTAAGTTTCGTTGCTTATGATTTTGTAAGTTTGCTTATGATTTGTAACTATTAAGTATCTTTAAAATCAGTTTTAAAAATTACGATAATTCTTTTAATCATAATTTTAAGCTCATTCTATTAAAAATTCCTAAAATTATCAGACGAGATGGAAATGATAAATTTTCATAAAAGCCAACGTCCTTTGTATACGACGATAGCTTTTGCCCGCTTTACATAGTTATAGCTGAACAGACTGAATGTACAGTGATTCCTAAAATTTCGCACAAAACTTCGGGGTTAGTTTATTAAAATGGAAGTAATAAACATAAAATAAAGAAATTTTGGTGATTATACATAATGTACACGAATCTGGTTAGCAGTATAAATAAAATAATAATATATACGGGATTATTCAAAAGCTTCTGAAATATTTAGTCTCACTTTAGAAAAGTGTTTTAAACTGCCATAACTTTTCAAAACTGAAGTCCTGTAAGGTAAATTCATATTAATTTATGGAACTTATCCTCAACTGCAAACGGTATACTGCAAATGGAAATTAAAGAGCTGAATATGGGATCTCATAAAGAAACCAATAATGATTCAGGTAATTAACTACATTTAAAGATTTTGAAAAGAAGGGAAGTCTTTTCACCAAATTGCTAACATTCTGGGGAAAAGTTCTTATTATGTGCAGGAAACGATGAGTTGAGTAAACCTAAAGAGGGAAGATGAAGGAAAGAAATTCAAGCGTAACAGCGAAGCGAAAAATAATGAAGGTAATCAAGGTAGAACCAAAAACGTAAATGACATAAAACTTGTTGCAGAAATTTTCGCAACAACTGGTAGCCGTACTTGTGAACAGCGACATTTGTAATGCCGGCCATAATTCTTAGAATAAGTATGAAGAATCACTTCACCAGCTTGCAGATAAATAATTTCTTTTCCCCAAACCATTCGAGAGGAGTTTAGCTTACCGTGTATATTAAGTGCCCCCATATTAACAAGGCACTATATGCTTAACAAACACCTAAGCCTTCCCCGGGATTCGAACTGGAGCTCAACAGCACGGCAGGTCAGCAACGCTAACCGTTACACCGATTAGGGCTGCAGCTTTTAAACCAATCATGCAATTCCTATAGTCAACATGGATATGGATCTTTACTAATGTGTAATTGTATGGTTGTAAGTAGGAACGAGAAGGTTTCATTGTTCATTGATGATTAGGGAAGTAATTTTATTGCTAGAAAACGTTCGAAATTTGCGGGTTGATCGTGAAGAAAATCGTGCTATTTCGCAGCTTAAGGTTTACGCTTAAAATTTCGTTGAGGTCTTATAAAAATTAATTTGTAACCAAAAGAAGCATTATATCACATATTTATAAATTAATATTTGTATTTAGAAGTTAATTCAATTCTAATAATGTTAATAAATAAGTTATCTGAGAACAATATTTTGATTTAAACGAATAGGCTTGATACATGATATTTGATATACACAGATTTTCATTTTTATTGCTGTGTCTGTTGTCCTATAGCAGTTTCTTAAATTTAGGGGGCGGAAAAGCATTCTCTTAGGATGTCATTTGACATGTCAATGCTTGTTGGCGCTGAAGATAACAATGACAGTATTATACTGCATAAGAAGATAACTTCCAAAAACGCACTCTAGAAATCTAGAAAATCTTCAGTTGTTCTGAGAAATTGACTTCAAATTTTTAGTAGATATTCCAGGTTCTGGTTTGGATTTTTATCTAGGATTGTTTTGCAATATTTTCCCGTGTAATTTCTAATTGAAGACATAATTAAAATTATTTAAATGTAAGAAATAAACTAATAATTATAATACAAATTTTAAAATAGTAAGAAAACTTTTGATTCTCAAACTATTCTCAAAAGCTTAGAAAGTTCCTTAAAATTCTCGAAAATGATGGTTGCAGTCAGACCACGGGAAATATAATGGCCATCTTAAATACTGTGATATTAAAATTTAAACCAGTTATTTAGATACAATGAAGAAAACCAACTTTAAGGAATGAGCTCTTAATTTGGGCTGAAAATGAAACTTTACATGTTAAGAAGCATGACCAAAGCGTGGGGTAAATTGTAAAACAATTTGACTATTTTACCATTATAAGCAATAACAAAAAAATCAAAAAGAATCCTATCCCCAAACATGAGTCTTACTGAAAATTTATGGTTTGTGCTAAACACAGGTTTAGAAAAGTCTAAAATAAGGAGCAAAGATCATTTAATACATTTCTGAAAAAAAATCGGGCAAAATATCTTTAGCCGCAGCTCGAAACTTTGTAAAGTAAGTGGTTTAGCGCTTCGAGGATATTATTGTGCTATTATTTAATCTAATATGGCAAAACACACGAGGACTATCTCCCTAGGGAGAGAAATGCTTTCGTGACGGATTTTATAACTGAAACATGGTCCACCAGCGGTTAAGTCGCGGGACACTGGAATTTGAACCATTAGTTTTCGAAGTCTTAAGCCGGTGAAACGTAAATAAGAGCCAGTATTTCTTAGAACGTCCTTCACGAAGGCATCCTTTCCCCTAGGCAGATAATCCTCGTTTGCTTTGCCATAACCAAATAAACAAAACAAAGCTAAATGAAACTGACTTCTTTCCCATTACACACGGTGAAAAGCGGCCCACCATCGACCGAGCGGTTAAGTCGCTGAACACTGGTAGTTCCGACATGCTTTCGATTACAGGCGAACGGGCTAACAGCGTGGGTGTTTTCCGGGTTTTTTCTGTGTGTAATGTGTATACGAGCCAGTTTCTCTTAGAAATTCTCCACGAAGGCATCTGTCCCCTTAAGCAGTTAGACCCAGTGTGCTTTGCCGTAATCAAGGGAAAAAAACTGGACAGAACCACGAAATACGCATAATTAGGTTAGGTTTGATTAATTGAATAAGGCAAAGCGCACAAGAGCTGTCTGTCTGAGCCAAGGGATGCCTTCATGGAAGGTATTGTATGGGAAACTGACTCGTATTCATGTTACACACAGAGACACCATGAAAATCAATCATACAGGCACCCCGTTCAACTGGACTCGAAGCCGGGCCGAACTCCTACTATTCAGCGGCCTTACTGACTCGGCCCATGGAACTAGTCCTTTGGCTAGGGTTTGAGCTTTGGTCGAACTACAAGTGTATAACCGTTTTATACACTCTCTGCGGAGCGAAAGTTTTTATTAGGGTAAAGTGCTTCAACTAAATACTAACAGTTCTTTTTATATACACTGCCCTCCAAAAGTTAACGAACAGTATGTTTTTTTGTGTTTAATATGAGAATGAAGCAACATAAAAACAAGAAATTTAGAGGACATGTTCACTAAACAGTTCTTTAATGAAGGCGATATAGCATGTTTCTGAAGTTCAACATAAACATAAATCACAACAAAAAATTTCACTCTTGGCAGAGAAGTCTCTTGGAGAAACAGTATATCAGTTTTTTGAGGAAGCATGGGGTGGTAACATTACAAAGTGGACTATAATAAAGGATGTGCCCTCCCCTAGCTGCAATACATTTGCGGCAGCGACATTCCATGCTGTCAATTAAGTTGTCGATCAGTGAAATGGGAAGCAACGACCAGACACGGAGTAATCCTTGTTCAAGTTTATCTAGCGACTTTGGAGGAGGACTTAATGCAGTAACCTGTCTCTCAAGGTAGATCCAAAGATGCTCTATCGGATTCAGGTTTGGGGATTGAGCTGGCCATTACATCCGCTCCATACCGTGAACCTCAAAATATTTCTTTAACAACTCGGGCTGGCTGCGGTTGCGCATTGTCGTCCATCAAAAGAAATCCAGGACCAATAGCAGCGGAATATGGGTGGACATATTGATCAAGGATCTCGTCTTGATATCTCAAACCAGTCAAAGTTCCTCCATGGAACAAGTAGGAAACCGAGAAAGATCCCAGCCCAAGCTATTATTCCAGCACCTCTGTAATTGTGTCTTTTCACAATGTGGGATTGGTTGTACCTGGCGCGTTGTTTCCTCCAGATCAGCTTACGACCTGAATCACGCTTTAATGTGAATCTCGACTCGTCTGTGAAAAGAACAGACGCCCATTGCTGATTGGTCCGAGAGACGCGTTCTCTTGCCCAACATAAGCGGGCCCATCTGTGTCCTCGGGTCAAGGGGACACAAACAACTGGTCGCCTTGCATCCAGACCCTGTATTGTGCAGGCGTCTGTGCACTGTAGTAGCTGAGATTCTTGTTCTTGTTGCCAATAAATAATCTGCCACAAACTGAGGCACAATAATGTTACTCCTCATTCGAGCCGATACAGCTAAATAACGGTCTCCCGAAGGTGTTGCAACTCTAGGTCTGCCTGGAACATGTCTTCTAAGCACAAAATCCTCAGATTCAAACTGGTTCCAGAGTCTGTGGACCACACTACGAGAGACATTCAGACGTATAGCAGCATCAGCTTGTGACATCTCATTTTCATTCATATGATTGCCTGCCACCTCAACGAATCGGGCAACTGACTTCTCCTGGACACTGATACACTCTTCTGGGTATTATCCACGAAACTGTAGTAACAACTGAAAATCAACAATCGTGAACAAAAATTACAATATTTGCATTTTTTCTCATCATTAATGGTGAGCTTTGAAAAACATGCTGTTCCTTAACTTTTGGTGGGCAATGTATTTGAAGTGCTAGAAAAGATTCCTGTGCCATCAATGGTTTAACCGAAAATTCTCCAAATGTTTTAGAAAATGGTTAATTTATTTTTAACAACTGGAGTATTTTTTCTCTGTAGAAGAATACACTTAAATGTTATCACCGAGCTATGAACATTGCGCAAAACCACAAGAACGTTAACGCCCATCAGCGGCCGAGTGGTAAAGCCGCTAAGGATTGGTAGGTCAGCCCATGGTTCGAATCCCGGCGAACGGGCTGGCTGCATGGACGTTTTCATGTTTTTACCATGTGTAACGTGTATACGAGCCAGTTTCTCTTAGAAAGTCCTCCACGAAGGCTTCCCTTCCGTTAAGCAGATAACCCACGAGTGCTTTACCATAAATTAAATAAACCGAACCAAGAATTTTAACTTTTTATATGTACTGTAAGCGATGGTATAATAAATTACTGTCGTTTCACCCGCTATTTAAATTCTTTTTTTTTTAATTTATCGAATTTCCGGGGAAATAACGTTCTATAAGTTTGTTTGCCTCAATATGCGTTACCACGTCAATTTTCGTTGATTGTAACAACGACGGTCATTGTAAGTTTTCTTAACCTACAATAAAAGGCAAGGAAATTGAATGAATAACAAACTGATAGTCGCTAAATACTTATTGCCTCTTCAGAAGGGAACTGGGCTACCGGTGACGAAAACTTCTCAAAGAAAACAAGGCGAAGGGAAATGTCGACATCGTGGAAGAAAAATAAAAGCAAGGACAAAACGTCGCAGCTGTTAAATGTCCTAGTGGAGAATAAAGTGGGACGTTAACTTCGCAGATTTAAGACATCATTGTACAAAGCATAGTAGTTGGATGATGATAAAAGTTGTAAACATGAATTTTCAGATTAAAATTTTCAAATGTATGTTCCTGCTGCAATATGTGATGATTTGTGAACTGAAACTATTAATATGTTTTTACCAAAAAGGATTAACTAAATGGTTTAATTACTAACCAAATGAATTTTACAATTCTATTAATTGCTATACTTAACTGTAATTTCTAGACATTATCCGATTTTCAATGTTTAAATTTCCTTTTATTTTTTATTTATAAATCTCAGTTATTATAGGTATATTCATCGTTCTTATTAAAGTTATGTAAACTAATATAGGTATATTCATTGTTTCTTCTTGACCTCATAAATCACTATATATTACACCAATAAGCATATATTTAATTCTTTAAATTCTTTAAATCTGAAAACGCGTGTGTGTGATTAGTCAATCAGTGTTTTTACATATTAACAATATTTTAGCATGAAAACACACAACTTCCTATTCTATTAAAAATTTGCATTTTTAACCCCTTAACCTACGATTTAGATTCGAAGATGTTGGACCGAAATTGTATACAAGCTCGCGCAGCGTTCGGGACATTTGCACGACTTGTGTAACACGCTAATCCGGGCAATCGTAAACATGACGAATTATGTAATTTTCGGAGAAAGTATAGGCGAATAATTATTGATGATACATCCGATGACGATCAACTACCAGAGTCCTGGCTTTGGAAAGAAATAAGAAATAGTTCAAAGATCTGGGACTATATGATGACTCCTTGCATAAGAAAGGAAGCCTTATGTCAATTAGGAGGAAGTAGAGGAGAATTTGATATATTTAAGCTAATATTTGATGGCATATTTTGGAACAATATTGTAATCAAAACGAATCAGTATGCAGATCAAGTACAAGAAAATCCACATAGAACACGAGTGTAAAAAGTGTAAAGTTCCGTTACATGTACCAGAATGCATTGAAATGTATCATACCATTACATATTACTAATTTTGTATTTTGGAGTTTTGTATAAATAAATATTTTGTAATACTTGCGTCTACCACAATTATTGCATCAGATTGTAAATTGCGTATCAAATATTCCGTAATATTCGTAATATTCACTTCTGGCCCGATCACCATACGCGGGCTATGCCCGTCATTGTAGATTAAGGGGTTAATTACAAGTGTTTCAAACAGAGTACTTAAATGTGCATTTACCATACACCTGTGATACTAAAACTGCGAAGGAATCTTCCATCGTGTTATTCAACAGCATGCGTTTATTACTTGCTTCGTCTGCTTCTTATGATTGAGAAAATTTGAATATCAGTATACATTTGTAAGAATTATTTACTTAAGAAAAAGAAAACTTGATAAAATCAGTAGAAGAAGCTTTAAGTTACTTCAGAATTGGTGAAAATGTATTATATTAAAAGTTAGTAAGTAATATTTAAAGTAATGAAAAAGTAGTATATAAAAAATATTTTGGCAGAAAAAAATGAAATTCATTGCTGTCTTTTCAAAGGAGTCATGCAGTAGCCCAAGATTTTGGAATAAGTATTAAAAGAAGCTGAAAGTCTTCAAGTTGCGTTATTTTTGGTGGAACGTTTCTTTTACTCAAGTACTATTATTCCTCCGAGCTGTTGGGAAGCGCTGTGTTTTGCACTAACACCACTGTATAACGTTTTATTTTAGGAAACCTCATATTTGTAAAATATTTTGAATAACAGTATCATGAATAAATATTGCTATTTAAGAAACTTTAAATATATGTTGTCATAATTGTACGTCTCCTTTCAGTTAAAAAAGTATTAAATGTTTCTAGCAAAATAGAGCTAAAACACCACACAAGATAAAAATACTTCAATATCTCTACTCTATTATTTAAAATTCACTGGGTGTTAAATACAATTACCTTTATTTAAATTAAGGTTTTATTTCAGCCAGAAAATGTTCTGTGCATCAGTCGCACTGGCAACCGGATCAAACTCATCGATTTCGGCCTCGCCAGGAAGTATGATCCGAAGAAAAAGTTGAAAGTTCTCTTTGGCACGCCAGAGTTCGTGGCTCCAGAAGTTGTTTGCTTCGAAACTATCAGCTATACTACTGATATGTGGAGCGTTGGAGTAATCTGCTATGTTTTGTGAGTTCTTTTTAACTTTCTTAGTATTCTTTTTGTGGCACCTTTATTGGAGAGACATAAGTTTCACAAACATCGAACATGCTTGAATACTGAACAGTTCAAACTTACGCTAACCAAAACGCTTGAAGCAATCTTTTTTTTATTTTTAGTTAACCTCATCTCGAGCTCATCTGCAGCTGAAGGCATGCTTTTCAAATGAAGATTGATTTTTAAATTGATCTTTAATAAGTGCTTCTATTTTCTTTTAAATAAACCATTCAAAATCGCAAATAACCATAGATTATACATAAATAACCATAGACAGATCCTCATTTTTCTCCCAATATTAAACTTAGTTAAAAATGTTCTTAGAGTTTAAGCCTAGTCACTTATTAGTTTTATTTGGAAAACTTACTAAAAGTAAGGGAAACAAATTGCTTTCGATATCATTTAATAAGTTAAATAAAATGCTTTTTTAAATTTCAGATTTTTATTTGTTTTTTTATAAAATCATTGACAGAAGTTTAAAGTCTATCATGCATTTAGTTCGGCTTGAACATTTTGAATGAGGGTCACAAAAAGGTTTACAGCCACTAATACTAACAGCTAAGATTTTGAGCTAATAACATTAAAAATATGTCGCCAAGAATCTAAAATACATGTCATAAAATATGCGATATATTTTGAAGTATCTAAAGTATGTGATTAATTTTGCTTTTTCGCTTTAAATCCGATTTTGATAGAGACTGGCTGTTTACTACCGAGTGATTTTTCTGTTCTGTAAAAGTCATTCTGTAAAATGCGAATATTTCCTAGCCCTATGATGCACATAAATGAGTACCTAATTTACTGTTTACATGAGATGCTGGAAATACTCATCAGCATGGATAAAACATAGCCGAAAGCGATGTTGTGTATTTTTAACACGCTGCGCTTCGCAATTTAAGTAGAATGTAATTTTTTTTTGGTTTCATAATGTGAGCCTTGTTGACACGCATTTTCTTATTGGAAATAAGTAGATTAAAAAAAAATCTGCAGATTTCAATCATGCTGTCGTGTGAGATGTTATATGCAGCAACACTCATTTGGAAGAAGCTGTTTCGGAGGACGTAATCGTTAATTTGGTTGACAGTTTATTTTTGAGGATTTTTTAAGTCAGGTGACATTTGCGCACATGTATGGCTCATAAGCACACCGTACACATTTATTCTCAAATGTAGGGGCATTTCATGAATGTCTCTTGCTTGTGGCTGTTACCCACAAATAAGAGCTAAAGCTATTAATTGACATGATCCACGCTTATTCTCTGCTCAGCATTCGGAAGATGAGCTGCTACGTAAATCGGTGTTTCTCAACCGAGTTTCGCCAATGGAGGCATGAAGTAACTTCCGTGCTTTACTTTCGTAACCCCTATGGATTCAGCAACTATCGTGAATTCATCAAGCATGCACCTGTATGGATTTTTAAGAAATCTCTAGACAGAAACAGATGAACTTAGCATATGAAAACATATTTTTGAGATATTTTTTAAATTAACTTCATATTAGTATGCATATGAGCAATATTTTTGAAATTTTTTAGTAAGATAAAAATAAAATACTGGGGTATTCGCATTTTCAGAAGTGAAATACCGAAAGATCACTTTACGCCGTTGATGAGAGGTTGCTACTTCACATTTATAAGATGCTGCTGCATTAAATCTTCAGGTAGTTCAGTTAGCCAGTTTTATTTCGCTTAAGTGCTGCACTGAAATATTTTAAGCGGTGCAACTATTCCAAGGTAAGACACAAATATCTGATAATAGTAATCAGAGTCTAAAAAGCAAAGAAAATAAGCCTGTAAAGTAATATTAGAAGTACTTATTAATTGTAAAATTTTCTACAACCAATTGATAATGATTTATAAAGAAGAATTCGTGCTATTAGGTTACATATTCTTCGGAGTTTGATATTCGAAAATGTTCAGTTACTAGCGTATGAAGCAAAAGATACTGCTAGAGTTAAAATGTACTTTTCCAGAATAATTTCCATTTAAAAATAAGCTTATACAACATCATGCATTAAATCAAAAGGCAGTTAAATGTATCACAACTGTAATTTCCAAACGTAGTAGAAATTTGTTTTTATAAAGATACTTACGAAAAAAATTATAAAACTCAACACAGACATTTTGCTATAAAATGTATTTGATATCATTAATGTTATTAATAGTAATATCATTAATGTTGTTTTTTAGTGTAAACTTATAATAATTTAAATAACTTATATACCAGAGACGAATAATTTTTATGACAGAATTCATAAATTTAAAAATCAAAACGAGGAATTTTATGACAGTAAAATTATTATGCAGTACAAATTATATTAATACAAAAGAGATAAACGTTACTAACAGATGGATTAGTTAAAAAAAAAGTTTTAGATCTTAAGAGTTACAAATTATAATTATGTGTAACTTTTGAATTTAAAATTGAATTTTGTTTAATGTTTCATAATCAAATAATTATCTCATTCAGAAGAAAAATTCCTCATCTTTCGTATCAAAAGTTATTAATATATACACGCATAAATTCTTCTTCCTTTTTTGATGTAATTAAAAAAGTATTTTAAATTTTTTACGATGTTTTTATTCATGTTGCAGGCTATCTGGATTATCACCTTTTATGGGCGACAGTGATATGGAAACCATGGCGAATGTTACTCGAGCAGAATGGGATTTCGAGGATGAAAGTTTTGATGATATATCCGAAGACGCCAAAGACTTCATTTCCAAACTCCTAATAAAAGACAGACTGTAAGTTGCAATTATATGTCGATGGTTATATTAGTGCAGCGGTATTCAAAGTATGGGTTGCGATCCCATTTGTGGTCGCAAAAGGGGGATCGCAAAGGGGATAAAAATCCTAAATTTAAATTGACTGTGAATGGATTAAGGATGGACGCTCTGATTGGGGCTGCGAAATTGAATTTTGGGGTCGTTTGCATTTTTATGGCATCGCATTGCCATCAAGTTTGAATACCGCTGCATTAGTGAATAGAATAAAATAATTTCATGCAGTTTTACTGAACACAAAATACATTAGCTTTTAGCTTTCCATTGTGCATCTTCTTTTTCGCTTTTAGAAACAGAAATACAGATTAATAAAATTCTCTAATATTTTACTTAAATAAAAGATGCATAACATTAGTTCAACAGGTCTCTCCACCAAGGAATTTAGTTTTTCTTATTATTTGAAACGAAATAATTGAAATATAATCTCTAACATGAATCTGTTGTGAAACAATTCTTGCTATTAGTTAAGCTATCTTTTGTAAATATCAGAATGTGTCCACAGCACTTGAAAGCATATTAAAGAAAACAGCTGTGTCAACTCTGAACCACATTTTGTGCAAAAGTTAGGATTATGATGAAATTTACTCTTTGCATATAATACGATATCCAGTCATGTATTTTTTTGAGCACATGCAATCCCCCTGTGCACCACAGATGTACAACACGGGGGTTACAAAAGTAAGCTAATTTAAGCATTAAATACTGCATGCATAAATAAAACGAATAAAAACAGAGAACAACAGTCTAGGGTTTAATCCTAGTATCCGGTGCACACGGGATTTGGCTACTTTTGGCGACTTTGATGATGAGCAGTAAAAACTGGACATATACGATGAGTAGTAAACGGGTCATTCGAAAAATATATACAGTTATGCATAGTATATACTATGTATACACAATGTATATACACTATAGTATATATATAGACGTTCTTTGGATCATGTTTGGTGTTGGCGATAATTTTCAAAATCGCGCCAAGGCTGCACCGTATACTAGGATTTTACCCAGTCTAGACTTCACAAAAACAGATAAATTCACTAGTCAGGTCTCGCCAAGCTTTTCCAAATTGTTCTGCAAGCATAATCTAGGGTCCTCGAAGGTATTAAAAGAAAAAAAATAAATGTATCACACCTTGAGGTACTTTGAATACTCATCTGACTCATTACCTGAACCTTGGTCCTTCTAGAGATATGTTCGTCATACAAAGAACTCCCAGCTGCGGTATTTCTATGTCCCTCTTCATTGAATTTACACATAAAGAAACCCCACTATACATTGCTATTTCAGTCGTACGCAAAACCATATTATTTTCTCCAAATTCTCACACACGCACACCAACCTCTTCTTCCCTCGGCCAACCAGTCCTCCCCAGCTTCTTCCGTCACTTTCTCCTCAAGTTCTTTCGTTTCGCCGAAGACACAAATTCTTGAAAAGTGTCCGCAGAAAAAGGAACTTTACAACTCATAAATTATTTGATCTTAGATTGCAACGAAACAGGTAACTTGCAAATTTACAGTGATCAGATTAAAAACTGAGATACTTTAATAAAGAAGAAATACTCTGAATGCAGTCTATGGTATATAGAAGAAAAGAATCTTTGGGTGCCCCCAGCGTTAAAAGATAAAATACATTCTCCATTCCACTTAGGTAAAAGCTTCGTATAATAAAAGGATTTCCAGTAAATCTTTGAATGCTAATATTAATACCGATGGCTAAATCTGAAGCATCTTTAGCTAGGAAGTCAGCTTTTACGTTTCCATAGAATCCATGATGACCATGCCCATTTGCAAAACGTTACATCAATTTCCCTATTTTTAAGCGAACTAACAGCTAACAGAATTACTAGCTTGTAGCTGTTGGTAATACTGATCAAAAGGCGAAGAGAAGAAAACGAATTATGTAAGGTACCTCTAGGATGTTGTCCCATTATCCTTGATCTACTTGACGACAGCATACGAACGGCCGAGTGGTAAAGTCGCTGAACATTGCTAATTCGGTTCGAGGTTCGAATCCAACGAACTATCTTTCTGCATTGCCATTTTCATGGATTTCCCCATGTGTAACGTGTATACGAGATGTTATCCCTTAAAAAGCCCTCCTCGAAAGCATCCGTCCCCTTAGGCAGGTAGTTCTCGAGTGCTTTGCCATAATCGAATAAACCAAATCACTTGACTGCAAAATAAATACAAAAAAGTTACGCTTGAAAAGCTTTTTATTAATTTCGAATGCGTTGTTTAAAATAGCAAACCTCAGATTGGTCTTCGAAAGGAACAAGTCCTAGACGAACCTTATTTTTTATTTGATTGTCATCTGTAAAGCAAATCATATGAAAACACTTATCGATAGTCTTTCAATAGTCAATTATAAAACCGCAGAAATTTATGGGCTCTAAAGTATCTCAAAGACGTAACTGGAGATTGGAGAAGGGGACATTTCTATTTAAACAGTTTTCCAGCATATCAGTTGCCACTTCCTCGGAAATATTATTCTTATATTCACTTTCGAAATCAGTTTTCTGTAAGATCAAAAGTAGTCTCATAACTTAATGTTCTATAACCAATAATAATACGAAGAATTCTCCGTTGAATCTTTCTCAGAATTCTTTTGTTAATTTTCTTTTCAAGTACGACAGCCGTATGAAATGAAAGACACAGTTTTCTGCTTACCCATCAGTTTCTTGGCTTCATAGCTTACTCTAAAAGTATTTTTGGTAATTCGGTGAAACTCATTAATAATTTTTTTTCACATTTAGAAAGGAATTTTGGTCATACATTAAACTTGCAATAAAACAAGCAAGTTGCACGTTGACATAAAAATTTTAAATGCTTTTTTTCTACTTCATATTACTTCATTTAATTCAATCAGTACAGTTAAGTAACTTAACATTCAACGTTTATTATCTCCAATTAAAAAAAAAAAACATGTAATTCAAAGCATATGTTTTGTTCGCTTTATACGAAAGAGTGCAAAACATGCAATCGAGTTAGACTTTTCAAATGTCTGAAAGATTAGACCCTTTTTAATACACGTTTAATACTAAATACAAGTTTTTGCAGTCTTTGAATCTTTTGCAAAGTAAGACTTTAAAATTCAAACATCATGTTTCTGATATACGTCACATTTCGCTTAAAATAAGCACTGAAGTGATGATTCATGATTCTGTTGTACACGCTGGAATTTTCAATCTTTATCCTTTATTGTTTTGAAACATTTTCTGTTTTACTGTGTTATGTGAAAGACCATGTACGAGATTCTACTAAGAAGTTTATAACGTTATCATAATGCAGATATCCATAAAGCAATGGCAACAGCCCATCAGCACCCGAGATTTCCAGATTCAGTCCCAAGCAAATAAGCTGGCTGCTTTTGTAACATGATTTTAGGCCAGTTTCTTTTAGAAAGTTCTCTATGATACACCTTGCTAATCTGGAGATATATCGCGTCCTTTTGCGTAATCAGTTAACCAGCCAGTGGTTATCAACATCTTTACACACTAAGGTCAGTTTAAGAAGTATGTTGACTCAAAAAAGCAGTAAAATATCGCTCTTTTTTCCCATTTCAAATTATTTCTCTAAATAGTTATGCAGACAGAATAATACGGAGCGTAAATGCAAAATTATACTCATAAAGACAATAAAATGTCGTTTTGAGCACATTTATCGAATTAAATTTATGGCTCTTAGTGTTAAGTCATCAAATGAAGTATAAGTTATCAAGAACACCGTGGGTGCTAATTCGAAGAAATAAAGACACACCAAATGGCAGAGCCACTGAAGGATGATAGTTCAAGCTGGGCTCAAATTCCTAAGAACGGGTTGGCACGGGTGATTTTGGAACTCTTCTCCTCTGTAACATGAATATGAGCTAGTTCCCCTTTAAAATTCTCCACGAAAATGACCTTCCTTAGGCAGATAGCCCTGGTATGTATATTTCTTCAGGCAAATAGATGTATATTTCCTCAGAAAATATAACAAGCATATATTATGAGGGAAATATTATTCTTTTTATTGTGCATATAAGCTGCCTTTGTCATATAATTCCAAGTGGTCTAAAATTCTATGCTTGCTTCTGTTCATGGTCACATAGATGCTTCCGGTTGTCTATGTAGTAGTCTTCATTAATGCTTTTCCTAATGCAATGAATACTTGGAGAAAAATTCATATGTGGTTGACAAAAAGAATTAAAAGTAATATACACTACTTTTGACTTTCCTTACTTTGTTTCATGCTAGAAGGCGGCAAATATTTAAATTGCGAGAGTTTTGTATGTTTCACAAATAAAAAGCAGTTTCTCTTTCTCCATAAATACGTGTTTCAGAAAACGTGCTGTGATTACAGTACCTTTAAAACCTTGGAAAATTCGCAATTTTGTTCCTTTTTGCTGCATGAAAACATTTGGCAAGCATTTCAACAATGGCAGAATTACTGGGATCGCTGGTATCAGCCTCTAAAGATGAATACTTGGCAATCTATATTTCCTGTAAAATTTTGTGTTAGTATAAACTTTTTTATAGACCACGTCAAAATTTGTCTGTGGAAATTCATTTCACAATGCTAAAGAATCAATACAGTCTATTTATTGGCTTCTTGAAGCCTGGCGGGTGCTATAAGGTAGAAGCCAGATATGTGGATGTCTGGGAATTTGGATGAAGCATGTGGCCCGCATAGTTCACGCTGCTTCCTCGATTACGTGCAGCATGCTTCAATTTGAAGCAAGAAGATGGTTGGGGTTCCTACAGTTCTCCCCCCCCCTCTGTTTTTGAAATTATTACTTCTTTTTGTTAATCCTCGAATGAAGAGGAAAGTCAGTATGAGGAAATTTGGTGTAACCGAAGTTATCAGAAACAGGCCCATGTTTTGAGGAACTGCATGATTTTTCATGAGGCGTTTCGTCATTGTCATATTTTTTTCAATCGTTGATTCAATTCTTACAATAGCTATAGTGAGGGTTATAATGGCCATTAAAATTTCAAAGTAAACTAACACATTTTAAATAACCAGCTTAAAAATATAATCGCGGAGTACCTTGCTACTAGTAACATATTACATCTTCAGTGGGCATCAGCAGCTACAATATAGAAAAAGGTTTTATATTAGACGTGATGTAAATGGTTTGATAAAGTACAACTCGCATATTAAGAAATTATTTAAACGGTGATTATGCAGAATAACTTGATTTTTATGTCTCTTATGAGCGATCATAATTAATTTCAGTTTATAAATGTAGTATAAACAACTGATCGCAAAGTTTATTTACTCTGAAAATTCTAGTGGACTTTGTTAGTAAATAAAATTCTTGTACTCAGAAAAGATCCGTAAACCTGTTGAAAAAAAGTGTAAAATATTCCGGTTTTGGTTTAAGACTGGAAATTTTCGTGACCGTAAGTTTGACCTTGAAGATATATATTCTTAATATGAGAAACCTCGTGCTTCGACCTGATTTAATTTAAAACTAATGTTGAAATATTTTCGTTTACTGACATAGAATAAAAAAATAATTAGTAACTTCCTTTTATTCTCATAAAAATCTTTCATTAATAATTCTATTTTTTATTACATTTCTGGTTCGTCATTCAACCAATCAACTGTCAGACACCAAATAAGAATATGAGATCACATACTTATTGTTAAAAGATAAAAACATGATTAAGTTCAAAGTTTTTTCTTTTATTAATACGATGATTTTGTATTACAGGAAACGTCTGAACGCTACACAAGCATTACAACATTCATGGCTCAGGGTAAGTGTTGAAAACCGTAGCTTTTCCTAATGTCATTCATTGTTTGAAAAAGAAAATGTTATCTTAATGTTATCTTGTTATTTTTATCATGGAAACTTTGCGTTCAAATTTAAAAATGACTGGAGTTTAGATTGAAAATGTAAATTAAAAAATGGCAGTCACTTATTTAAAAATAAAATGCATATCTTTTAACGAGGGAAGGGGGGACTGGTAAATTCTGAACCGCGAAACTAATTGTTTAGATAAAAATGACTGCATTTCAAGTACAAAATCTAAGTAAAATAAAGTAAAACTAAAAAATAATTTCATTCCTTTTCTGTTATGGCGGGTTAAAGCATTTGTTTAACATGAAACTGAAAAATCAAAAGCAAAATATTTACCTGGATGAAAAGTCTGTAGTAGTCAATGATATTTTCCTCAGTTTAAAATCCTCTTGGTAACAATTTTTGCTTTCTTCAGCTGTAGAGACATTAAGTATTTTTGAAGCATGAGAAGTGAAAAATGAGTGATTCCCTCGCCGGGATTCGAACCACGCACCTCTCGAATACGCTCCGATTGTGCTGACCACTACACCCCGAAGGCATGCTAAGAAGGTAGAGGTTCGAGTCCCGGCTAGGACATTGCTCATTTTTCACTTTTCCTGATTCAAAAATACCTAATGTCTCTACAGTGGCGCTCGAACTAAAAAACGTGGTGAATGATTATTCTCCACTACTAGGATTTGGCATTTGGCTTCCCTAATCCTCAGTCGCCCTTTAAAAGGGGAAGTATATAAGGTATTTCTTCCGCCTTCTTAGCATGCATTCGTGGTGTGATGGTCAGCACTCTCGGTGCGTATTCGAGAGGTTCGCTGTTCAAGTCCCGGTAAGGGCATTGCTCATTTTACATCTTTCCTGCTTTAAAATAACCTAATGACTCTACACAGCTATCCGTAACTCTTTCTTTAAACCAGTGGATTTTAACCTTTTCTGTGCGTCGTATTCGCGGGAAAATTTTGATTACTGTTCACCCGCTGCAGTTCCTACAACGTGTATTCGCGCTGAACAAAGTATATCAAATGAATCGCAATTTTTATTCAAGGACTCTAGTTACAGTTTATCGCTCAAGGTAAGAATTCTGCACTAAAGAAAAAATATTTTCACAATGTATTCAGTTATCTGATGGAGAAATAAAAGTTACGTATTATAAAAATTATTATATATTTAATATGCCCTGCAAATTGTATTAATTTAAGAACAATAATCCTGAGAATATATAAAGCAATATTAGTCATTTTAAGTAGATAATAATTATAATTCATCGCAAATTTTATATGTGTGAGTGTTTTGCTGTCAAGAATCTCATTCTTATCACTTTTCTTTTAAAATTTTTTGTAAATCCTTTTCTATTTCAGAGGGATAAAAAGAAACAAGAAACTACTATTGACAAGAAGAAACTGAAGAAATTCGTCATTCGTAGGCGTTGGCAGGTAAGAAATACTTGAGTTATTAGACATCCGTACATGAAATAAGGATAATTCAGGTATAATTAAAGGAAACTGAGAACTCAGTTATGTAATTCAATAGGTTATATAAATTTCTTGTCAAACACTGTTGAGTATTGCATTTTCTGACTTGACATTCAGTAGATGATATTACTCAGTACTCACTCTGATAGTACTCAATGATGAATTTATAGTTTGTATTCAGTATTCAAAATGCTACGAACATTTTTGTTAAACTGAGAGACGGTCCTTCGATATTTACCTAATTATCCAGCAGTGATAGATTCTTCGTCTATTTTTATTTTTATTTTTTTATTTTTATTAAGTAAGGAGAAGGGATTATCAAATGTTATCCTATGAATGTCAACTTCAGCTGAAATTTTAGTTAAATAACTAGAAATAATTAAAATCTTTAGACTGTAAGATCTGTTCCTCTTCGCTTTCGTAAAGTTAACGTGATCTTACTTGAAAACCTGGCGACTTCTCGCACAGGCGTAATAATTACCAGCACAGACGAAGAGTAAAACAAACCTTTTATTATTCGTCAAACTCTTAACATAAATGCACGTACTTTTTGTTTACAGTAACACCAACTACTTGCGGTGGGAACTCCAGAATAATTCAACAGTAATTTCAAACACGAGTAGTAGTGCGGAACTAACTATTTAGTTTAAGGCTAATTAGGCTGATTCAATAACCTAATTGGCGCTGGACTTAATAAGTGGCCACAAGGCGTATCTGCAACTCAGCGTAACAGCAGCAAGGACATAATATTAACGTATGCTAGCTGATTAGCGAAATCACGCTCTGAAAAGTATTACTTTCATCTGATTTTATATTAACTTTACTTAACTTAAAATATGCAGAAAATTCTTGGCGATGAACTGCGAGGGGAAGTTGAGGACTTCAGGAAAGATTACAAAAATTTGAATGATCGGTTAATCGAACTAAGGAAAACCCTACAAAACTACTTAAAGGGTTTTTGATGGTCTGGATGTTTTAGGTAAATAAAGCTGTTGCCTCAACATATGTTACTTATGAAAAATATCTTTGCTTGTCAATGATTTATCCTGAAATTTGAATGCATCAGTATTATAATATTTGCATCTAATCAGTTATAAGTATAAATTAGGAGGAAAGAAATATCATTTTAATGACTCAGTGGAAAGAATATATGTCTGTAAAACTCTGAGAGCTCACAGCCAGAACAGAAAATTTAGATATTGTAGTTGAATACATATTTATTATGTACAGGAGATGATAGAAATAATAACATACGTAATACAATAGTGCGATGCTGGGCCAGAAACTGCTTTGAGTGCAGCCTCGTAATTTGAGTGGAATGGAAGCAAACAAATCAAGATATTTGAATATCATGTCAAAAGAGAAAGCTGGTCTAACATTTGAAATGATTTTGGATGATTCGATCAACAGAGATAAATTCTTCAAAGTTTAAAATCTTTTGACAAAAATTTTAGAAAGAAAGTAAAAACTATTTTTTAGTTAAATAGAAAGTGAATGATAAAGATTATCATTAATTAATGTGTTTTAATCAATGTAGAAGCATTAATAAAAAAACGTTTTTTTTTAATGTTTGCTTTTAGTTTCACTATTATACCCATTCATGTGAAAAAAGCAATGTGCGGCCTTTTTGTTTGCAGTCCAAATGCTTCCTAGCTATGCGAAACTGTAAAGAAAGAGAAAAGAAAAAATTTCATAAGTTTAATATAAAAAATTAAATATAAAATTCATTATTCAGGGAAAATGTTTGCTATGAAGCATTAAAAAGGATATTAAAATACTTCAATATTAGAAATTTTAAAACTGTCGAGAATAAATACAAATTTATATAACAGGACTTCCTTTTTAAACATCCCATTTTTATCAGTGCTTTATTTAAATCGGAATAATTTGAAATTAACTTGATTGCTTGATTTATCACTATCATTGACTTACACATATCTAAAACAATTCTTCGGGCATAAAATTTATTTTAAAAATGGTTTTGTTACAAATTCCTCTATTTATTTATTTCCAGAAAGCAGTCAATGCTCTTATTGCTTTGATAAGAATGGGAGCTACGATATAGTGGAGCGAGTTTTGTAGAAAGGTAAAATTATTTATTAATTTTTTAATAATGTTAAATGTCACTAAATTTAAGTATTCATCTGTGTCCAAAAATAACCAATATGTTTCATATGTTTCCGTTATTCCTATCTGTAAGTGAGAATTTCTGTGCTGTTCATTTATCTGTAGTTATGATACGAATTATTCACATTCTTATACAAGTATTTAATATTTTATATAAATCCTAAGCTTTATTACACCCCTTTTTCAAAAGTTCGCGAAAACGTCATGCCACAGGCGTAAAACAGGCGTAAACTGAGTTTGGCTATTAGAAAGAGTTGGCATACTCTCTTGAGAAGAAATGTATAATATGACGTCATCCAGAAAACTGAAGTTTATGATGTAATGAAAAAGCGTTAAATCATTTTTAGACCTGTCGGCTCGATGTTGTATTTTGTGCAGAGCAGCTTATATTTTTTTTTATGTCATGACACAATCACCTTATTTGCCTGATTGCTCATCCTCTGATTTTTAGCTGATCTCTCTTCTCAAATTGGTTCTTAGAGGATCATCTTCAGACAATTCAGATTATCCAAAACTGCGCGAAGATAGGTACCAAATGAGGCATTCTTCCGCTTCTGAGAATAACCCCCCCCCCCGCCGGAGCTCTTTAATAAGTGAGTTTGTTCCAGTGAATATTACTTGTTACGTAATGAGGTAATGAATTTTTGGCTGTTCTAGTAGAATTAGCTTACGAGTATTGTCCGTCAATTTTTGAACATAATTCTTATAAGATAATATAAGAGATTCTCATTTGAATCAGTATATTATATAATTGCTTTATGTTAGTTTACTCGATAACGTATGAGTGTATATTTGTCCTATTTTCAAAATATTTTGTATGAGCGAAAATTATAGCGTTTTACATTGAAAGAATTAAGTTATATTGTGAGAGAATACATAAACTGGCCTTCAGTTTACAATGTATTCTAATGTACATTATCAACTGCCTTTTATTGTGTAACTTTCCTATTGTAGAATGCTTTTGCTCTGCTGCGGGAAAGATTTTGTAATCCGCCGCGAAAATTCTCTGCATTTTCATCCTCATGTTCCTGAAGATAATTGTATACCGACCGAAGGTATTCTTTTGGAATAACAGCATTAGACATATTTCTGTCGTCTTTGGTTCGTGTATCCTAGATCAGACTCATATAAAAGACTGAATCTGCTACGCTCATTTTGGGTCTTCAATATTTTCTGCCCGTCTGATCACATGAAGTAGGAATCGTTCCCCGCGCTAGCTTGTTCTAGATACTACTCTAGACAATTCCATTTCCCCTTGCCATCAATTAATGAGCACAAGAAAACGTTTCCAGTGTCAAAAGTGTTAACAAAATAAAAGGAAGAAATTTTTGTATATATCCCATACAACTGAAATATATTGGTGAGAAGAATAAAATGACTAAAAATTAACATCATACAAGTATATAAAAATGTTGCTAAATATTAATTAAAATATAAAACTATTATTTTTTCTTTCTATCCAACTAGGTCCCGCCCCTTTGGAAAATCGGAGAATGACTGCCATGTATACCATTGCCACTCATTCCCTTCCTTTGGTTTCCTGTTTGCAACTGTCTCGCACTGAGGGTATTCATTGCATCAAAATGACACCGTCCGAAACCTCACTGCGAAACTAGAAAATTATTTTATCAGAAAAATAAATAAATATCCAGATTCGCGGCTGTTATAAAAGCTCGGCCTACGCATGGATGGACCATCTTATTCTTAATACAAGATGACTGTATCAAAAATCTTTGTAGAAGTTATCTACAGACCGAAGGATTATGAAGAGTTCCCCGAGGAAAATTATTGAAACAAAGTTTATGATCAGCTACACTTTGACATTCTTTTATTTTTAATCAGAAAGATGGTGCTCACTGTGTTTTAAGAGGATAGAGAATTCAGGAAAGATTTTATAGACAATAAACTTTCATTACTTTTAGACCGGAAATTCTGATGTACTTCGAGAGAAAACATTTCCTACACTACCAAATACATTTCTTAAATTATTCACTCCCACTCGGGGATTTTGATGCTTTTAATGCATAAACCGCTTTCTCTCCTGAAAACGCTTCCAGAGCTATAACTACAAAGTTTCAATGTTTACTACATTTTTCGTGTATGTAACTACTGGAGATCCACACATTTATTTACTTAAAGAATGTATTAAATGTTTCCTTTTCTGCCCATTCCATCGACAATGACTTCGGAAAGTTTATATGCGTAAAAAGAATTACAGCCTTCACATTTTTTGTTCTTTCCTTTTAAATTGCCATCTTTCCTATTTTGAATCTCGCTATCTGATTCAAATTAGAATTGTCTAATGTCTATATATATAACAATGCTTTTCATTTCTGTTCAACTACTGTATTTAAAATGTTTAAGTTTTTAATTACTGATTTTAAAAATAAAGAAAACTATCACCGCTTGTACATTTTATTTACTATTAGGCAGTTTAATGTACTCTTGTTACCATTTCTAAACCAAAAAACATTCAATTTAAAATTTCAATTAGATTTCTGAATACTTAGGATTCATGTATTAAATTAACTATTAAAAGAATAGTGAGAAATGCAGAAGTTGAAGTTAATCTCCTTTTACTCAGGGTTTTATTCTTGCTAAATGTTGTATTTGTTAGTAACTGAAAGCTGATTAAAAGACGTACGCGTTGAATATGTGCGAAAAAATATCTCTGCAACGTACATAATTTTAGATAAAACTTTCTTGAGTAGATATACTGGATACATACATTGGCTTCGGAAAGTTAAGCACGAGAAGGTAAAACCAACAAAAATGTAAAAGTGAAACACTTATTAACACCAAATTGCACATGAAGGGCTTATGCATGACAGAAAGCAAGCCTTATACATAAAGATAGATTGATTGGATTATTTAATTATGGCAAAGCACACGAGGGCTATCTGCTTAAAGGGAGGGATGCCTTCGTGGAGGACTTTCTAAGGGAAACTGGCTCGTATACAGGTTACACATGGGGAAAACCACGGAAACGCCCAAGCAGCCAGCCCGTTCGCGGGATTCGAACCTCGGACCGAACTACCAGTGTTCAGCGTCTTTACCGCTCGGCCATTGGTGAGCCATATACAAAGATGAAAACAATATTTAATTTCCGTTAATTGTATGATGACATCGCATTGGGGTTATTAACAAATTGCTTTTAAAGCTAAAAAACAAACGAAACTTGCGTTAATTACATTACCGTATCACACAAACTTTAGACAGACTGCCTGTGCTTTCAATTACGTTATCCACCACTGCAGATGCTAGTAATGGACATTTTCTATTAGGGCCGTTTTCAGCTATGCGAGATTGGGCTGGAGGGGATAAATTTGCAAAGCTAGCACATCAGAAGGCATCTCAAGGATTTTACTTTTCAGCGTATGTGCTATGTTCTCAAGGAATGTCTCGTCCCTTGAAGACTGCCATTTATTGGTGCTACTTCATCCTATTTACAGTTCTGCTTATGGAGACTGACAGCTCGAGCAACGTTTCTTGCCGTATAACGGTTGCACGCTACCCGATTCTTTTTTAAATACCTGCCATTGCCTTGAGCCATTCAAATACAGGTTAAAACCATCCATGTTTGTATGCCTGTCACGCCATTCAAATAATGGAAACAGTAACCAAAGATTTTCAATAGGATTAAGGTAGAAGGAATGCAGTGACCATTCTATGCAAGAAATGTCCCCACTCTGCAGAGCCTCGTTAACGATGTGTACTCGATGGAGATGGGCATTATGATAAATATGGAGGAAAATCAGGACCAACTGCTGCAACGTTACTTCGATACCGCCCTGGTCTTTAATGATGAGCAACTGCCTGCTATATTCCACTGAAATTCCAGTCCACTGAACTGCCAGTGTTCAGCGACTTTACCGCTCGGCCGCTAGTGGGCCGAATTTTTAAGGAGAGTCACTTTTAATTTTCACTTTTGAGCAACTTGAAAAGTGAGCATTTTGGCTGATTTTGGCTATTTAAGGCTTGGCGTTTTCGACGATTTCAAGTTCGGCAATTGTGTTTTTCTTGTGTTTTTTTTTTTTTTTTTCAAAAAAACGATCAATTATGCCTCGTAGTAAACAGCGATCATCGTTTGATCAAGTATCCGAGTTCGACAGAGGAAGGATAGTGGCCTCCCGAGAGTGTGGACTATATTTCAGGGAAATCGGTAGTCGTGTTGGACGAAACCAAACTGCTGTAATGCGGATATGTGACCGTTGGATGCAGGAGGGTACGACGGACCGACGTGTTCGATCGCATCCACCTCAGTGCACCACTTCACTTGATGGCAGGAATATTGTGCGCATGGCAGTGACGGATCGCTCAGTCACATCACGAACCATAGCACAGCACATTCAGTCTGTAACGCATCATCCAGTGGCTGCGTGTACCATTCGAAGGCCGTTTACAGCAGAGTGGTCTGTGCGCAAGACGCCCATTGCTTCGTCTACCCTTGACACAGACGTCTCCGCCTCCAATGGTGCGATGAAAGAAGGATGTGGACGCAGAATGGAATGAAACTGTCTTTACTGACGAGTCACGCTTCTGTCTGCAACACCACGATGGTCGGATTCGAGTCTGGAGACACCGTGGAGAGAGGATGCTGAATAGCTGCGTTATGCACCGCCACATTGGTCCTGCACCGGGTATTATGGTATGAGGCGGTATTGGATATCACTCTCGCACTCCTCTAGTACGCACTGCCGGTACTTTAAACAGCCAGCGCTACATCTCCGAGGTGTTGGAGCCAGTTGTCCTTCCTTAAATTCAGGGCTTGCCGACAGCCATATTTCAACAGGATAATGCGCGCCCACACGTGGCAAGCATTGTCCAAGGGTTCTTCGTCAATCGCCAGATTGAATTGCTTCCCTGGCCGGCTCGCTCTTCGGAAAACATGTGGTCCATGGTTGCTGAACTATTGACCCAGATTACATACCAAGCTGCCACACCGGGTCAACTTTGGCAACGTGTGGAAGCTGCTTGGTCTGCTTTACCCCAAGAACACATTCAAAGTCTCTTTGAATCAATGCCGAGGCGTATGGCGGCTACTCTGGCTTTTGATTCTGGAAGGAACCACACTTCACAGAAGTCTATAAATTTAATCATTTGATACTTGGTCAACATGTAGTAAATAAATTTTGTTGTGATATCTCTTGTCTTTCTTGGTGTTGCAATTTGGATGGCCAGCAGTGTATCCAAATTGGATGGCCAGCAGTGATATATATGCAGCGCACATGAAATTAGATTTATTATGCTTTTTGAAATGGTAAGAAATTTAAGGCTGTAAGATAATTCAGTTTCAAATTACCGGATTCAGACATAAATAAAATTTTTGACTGATAAGTTATTTTTTAACAATACATTTTGCCTCCAATATCTTAAATTGAGGTAAGGGGGATTTTTTAAAGCAATATGGATTTTAAAGTTGCATATATCCTTTGTTGATTTGGATACTGTTCAATCAAACTTCACTTAATGCGATCAACCTACCAATCATCGTAGTTCTTTCGTCTAAGATTAAGGTGTAATGTATGCAGATTAATACCTTTTCAAGAAAATGTCCGAAAGTGAAATTTCAAAAGTCGAAAAGCCAGCTACAAATGTAAAGAGTACAAAGTTTAGCAAATATTATAACATTTTAGAAGAAAGAAGGCCTGAGATTAATGGTTTTCAGTTTCGTGATTACTGTTGAAGATATTAAAATTTCACCTTTGGCCAGTTCCTGAAAAAAATCCTTGTAAATAAAAATATGGATTCTGAAATTGTTAGATATGAGACGCAATATTTTCATGAAACACTGCTTCAAAGGTTCTAAAAAGAAGTATTTTGAATATTTGAACTGTGATTAGAATCGAAAGAAAATGGCCACACTGCCAAATTTTAAAATAAGCCGAAAATAAAGGGGTAGCAGCGGCAAGTTCTAATGAAGAAGATTATGACATTTGATCTAAGATTATGACATTTTGTAATTTATTTCAGAGTTTTGTGATTTTTAAAATCTTTTTCAGATTTTTAGATTATTTTATTAGCAAGGAAATTTTTCCGAAAAGGTATGATGATAAATTGATTCGATTCAATCGTGTTTTACTAAAACTGTAAGCGAGAATAGAAATTAGGTGATTTCTTATAGCTAACTCTATTATTTTCAGATGGAAATTATTTCAGAAAACAATCTTGTTGCGATTTAGAAGGTATTCAGTAAGATTGATTATTTATTGTGAAACTGATAATTAACTCAATACTTAACTTTCAGAAAGTTTTGTTCATCTAATTGTGCATCATTATGAGTTACTTCCTCAATGTTGGCGACTTATCAACCTGACTACAGCCAGTTTACATTAAGCATAGATTTTTTTTTATTTGGTAACTCCTCATAGGAGAAAGAGAGAGAGACCTAAGAGAAAATTAGAAATTAAGGGATCGATGCCTAATCTACAATAACTTGTGATAACCAGATAACTTACCAGAAAAGGTCGAAATATCAAAATCAAATTCCTTAAAACAAGACTTTATCCTCCAGCTAATCATAGTTAAAGAGGCTGATTAGGATGGTTATGGGACTCAGCGGGGGCTTCCGGCCAGCATTACTTTCATTCCAACTCAAGTACTAGCTGTATCTACTCTGATAGTCACCAGTAACAAGTAGCTTTTGACACAAAAAGACATAAGACATCAGTTGCAATTCCATTCGCTAGCTTTTAAACTTTCTTGCATGTGCTTAACATTAATACAGTGCTGGCTACTAACATTGCTATACCAGGAAGGAAAGCAAACAGCAGAATTTTATTTATTGTATACATACAGCATGATAGGAGGAAGACATGATTAAAATTGCTGGTAAGTTTTGGGTAAGTAGCGTGCAGAATTCCATGGGCGTATCCAGCTCTAATTACGTGGGGATGCCCATTACGACTTCTATAATACTGGTCTACCTATTACAGAATCTTCAAGTATATAGGTAATTCTTACGTGACAAATATATTATGTTAATGGCAGTTATCTTAATATAAATAATAATTATATTATCAATTTTATTACTAATAAAATTATGTAACATAATTATGGATATATTTCAGTTAATTATTGTACTAATAATTATTACCTTACAAACATATTAAATGCGTCACTCAGTACTTTTGTTTTTAAATTAATTAAAAATTGTTATTAAAATATTAAAAGAATTTTGAAATTCATCTTAATTTGGTTTTATAGTACAAATACAAAGACAAATAAATATATATAATCCATATTTCTGTGTTACATAATTATATAATAAAGATATTGAATTAAATACATAAAAGTTGTAGCTACATCATTTATTTTGGACATAAAATTAAATCGAAAATAAAAATTTTAAAAAAAAGGCAAACATTTTTCTGGCCTTTCATTTTGATTCGGAAATTAAAATATTCC